CTGCCATGCGAGACTGAATCAAAAGCCTTACTGAGGTCCACGTACATAACATCAACTGCATGTCCCTCATCTACACACATAATCCTAACCCTAAACTCCTCAAAAAAATTCTTCACATTTGTTACACATGATCTCCCTTTTACAAAGGGATGCTGACTGAACTCAATTAATCCTTGCCTCTTCAAGTGGAGATTAATTTGGCCCCTCAGAATTTTTTCCAATAGTTTCCCTACTACAAATGTTAGACTCATTGGCCTGCAGTTTCCTGGTTAATCGCTACACTATTCCTTGAACATCAGCTGTCCTCCAGTCCTTTGGCACTTCTCCTGGGGCCAGAGAAGATTTGAAGATTTATGTCAGAGCTCCTACAATCTCCTCCCTCACGTCCCACAGCAGCCTGGGATACATTTCATCTGGGCCTGGAGGAGTTATCCAATTTCAAGCCTTCTAAACGAGCTAGAACCTCGTCCCTCTCAATGTTAACTTGTTCAACCATATAACAGACCCACCTTGATTTCTACACCAACATTTCATTCTCTATAGTTAATACAGATGCAAAGTACACATTTTAAAGCTCATCTGTGTCTTCCTGTTTCACACACAGATTGTCACTTTAACCTCTAATGGGCCCTACTGTATCCCTAGTTTTTCTCTTCCCAGAGTTAAACTGCATTGATTTGTTAAGGGAAGCTAATGTCTGACAAATTTAATTGAATTATTTTGACGAGGTAACCAGGAGTATTGATGAGTATAATTCACTTGTTACTACGTAAAATGAGCAAATCTTTTCAGGTGGTCCCTCATGACAGACTGGTCAATAAAGTGAGAACCAATGGGATCTGATGCAAAGTGGCATGCTGGATTCAAAATTAGAGGAGAGGTACGAAGTATAAAACACTGGTTAGGCCTTAGTGGTAGTGCTGTGTGTCATTTACGTGATACAATAGGAAGGATGTGACTGCAGTAACCAGGGTGCAGAGGAGATTGACCAGGAGGCTGCCTGGTCTGGAGTGTCAGAGTGAGGTTGCACAGGCTGGGGTTATTTCCCTTACAGCAACAAAGTTTCGGGGGAGTCCTGCTGGAGGTGTATAAGATTGACGGCCATAGATAATGCATTCCTAACCACTTAGTTTCCGTTAACAGAAGGTTCAATAACCAGGAGATATAGATTTAAGGAAAGTGGAGGAAGGCTACGAAGGAAGTGGTTTGATGTCTAGAACTCACTGCCTGAAAGGATAGCCAAGTCAGAAACTGCTGAAGCATTTAAGTAATTTTTACATATTAGCTTGAGTTGCCATACTCTCAAAGGTCTACTGGCAAAGAACTGGAAAATGGGATTAGTCTGTTGACCAGCACAAACATGATGGACCAAAAGGCCTCCTTTGAGCTGTAAATGTCCACAACTCTACATGCAAGTTCTGCTCCAAGCCACTCACTATCCTAACTTTGAAATATATCATCGTTCCTTCAGGGTCTTTGGACAAAATCCTGGAACTCCATCCTTAACAACATTGTAGGTCTACCTACACCACTTCAGTGGTTCAAAAAGACAGCTCACCGCCACCTTCACCAAGGCAACGAAGAATAGGCAATAAATGGTGGCCCAGCCATTGACATTAGAAGGAATAGAAAAAAAAACATAATTCTGGTCAGCTCCACATCCTGCTTTGACATCAGGACAAGAGACTTCAGATGCCGTCCCGATACACGTTTTACATCCACGGCACTTCTCAGCTGTCTGAAGTCATCTGAAATTCTTCTTCACCATCATTTACACTGTCCTAACTTCTCTGAAGCTTGTTCTTCACTCTTCCACAATGGAGACTGAGCTGCTATGTTATTTGAAGGCTGGTGCATCTATGTATGTTGTTTAATCTACGATGGTTATTATCTGTGGATGAAACATAGAAATAGAAACAGGAGTAGGCCATTCAGTCCTTTAAGCCTACTACGCTTATTCAGTGTGATCATGGCTGATCATTTAACTCAGTACTATACTTTCACATTCCCCTCGTACCCTTTGATCCCTTTAGCACTAAGAACAATATGTGCCTCCTTCTTGAAAATAATCAATCTTTTGGCCTCAACTGCTCTGTATGGTAGCAAATTCCACTTGCATACCACTCTCTGTATGAAGAAATTTCTCCTCGTCTCAGTCTATAGATACAGGGTACCCCATTCAGGATAGCATCCCCCTAGTGTGGACTCCCCTGTCATTGGGAACATCCTTCCTATGTTTACCTAGTTTAGTCCTGTTAGAACTTTTCATGTTTCTATGCGATTCATCCACATTCTTCTCAACTCCAGTGAATACAGTCCTATTTGGTCCACTGTCTCTTCGTACAACAGTCCTGCCATCCCAGGAATCAGTCTGGTAAACTTTTGTCGCACCCCCTCCAGAATGTTTTTCCTCGGAGAAGAAGACCAACCTGCATACGATATTCCAGATGTGGTCTTATCAAGGTCTGGTCCTTCTACCGCACCTGCACAAACTTCAGAGTCACAAGACGGTTGTCTGACTTGAGAACACCATCCAGTTATACAGCCACACAATGGCAATAGCAAGTAAAACACTAGAAATCCCAGCATAACCTCAAAGTCTAAAAAGGTCATCACAAAGAAAGACCACTATGTTAGGAGATTTCAATTACCTCAAAATGTTCTAAATACTTTTCCCATTGATCTTCGTGTTAATGACGAAACTGCATAAAGAACTAAGAAATATTCAATCACCATTCTTTGGGGGTCTTAAAGAGACTCACGATAACATTAAACAAATACTTCTCTGCTGCCCCAAGAAAAGCTTCTGAACTCAAAACTCCAGATAATTTACAGCGCAAAAACACACGTCACAATTATTGCTCGAGTTCCACATCCTGATGAATGCTTCTCTTGCAATGAAAAATTTTGACACCATTTTCACATAAACTAATGATTTCTGCCCTTTCCAGGAAAAAAAAAGGAGAGTGCAGTGGTTAAAAAAAAGTGGACTTCCTACTATGCTCATGACATCTTCATGCTTACCACCTATTCTTCATGGTCAGGCCCAGTGATGCATTTGGACCCTCTCATGATTTTAACAGCTGATTGCAGCAGTTCCACTCAATGCTGGACCCAGCAGTAAAAGCTCATTGTAAGCTGGAGCAGAGCTTGTAAAAGTAAGCATCCTTTTCTAAACAAAATAAAAGTTTCTTTGCAAACTGGGAGGAGCAGGACTATTAAGGATTATTCCCTGGGGTATGTGGCAGCAAGCTACATCTGTTTGGAATCCTGCTTCCTTCTGCCAACAAGGCAGCAGTTACTGCTGGGCTCAGGCGCACATTTGGGTTAAAACCTCCTCCACGTCTGGGGCACGGAGTGATGTCCCATGCCCCTTGGCCCTAGAAAGTCAGAGTTAACTCAACTTAAAGTCAGACCTCAATACCTTAACAAATTACCAGGATGGCTTAACCTTCAGGATCAGTCACCTATTTTTCAATAATTTAGACAGTGAGATTGCATTGGTAATGCTCAGCAAATCCACCCATAAATTAGGTGACGGACGAGTCACTAGTAAGTTCATTGCTTTGTGGTTCTGTTATGTCAATGGGGCAAAATGACTATATTCATTACAAACAAACCTTAAAGAACAGCATTCAAAACATCATATTTTTAAACAAATATTCAGTCTAAGGTAGTACAACAGTGTGGCAACAGTGATAATACAATTTAAACCATCCTGCAAATAGGACAGACCCTTCAAAAGATTAATTTTTTTGGCAAAGAAAATATAGTGTACTGCAGTGAGGCAACATCCTCACCTTGTGTGTGACTGTACTTGCTCTTGCATTAGGGTCAACAATTACTCTACAGCACATACAGCTATCTGTGAAGTTGCTTCTTCCACCAGGAGGGAATGGTATCTGGTAAACTCAGAACTTACTAACTACAGTGTCAACAAAAATGTAACCGTTTTCCTGCTGTGCTCGAATCCTACATGAACTCTGCACTATCGGATTCCAAAAAAGGAAAGGAAATGCTAGAGATAAGCCAGACTGGGCAGCAAATCTAGAGAGAACCGTTAACATTTCAGGCCAATGACCTTTCAGTGCACCTGACAGAAGTTAGAGATTTTGAGCAAGAAGTGGGTGGGACAAGGACACAAGGTCTGTGGAGGGCTGGAGAGATTGAATAACTGAACAGTTCAGCTCATCAGAGCCTGCTACAAACAACACTACCTCCTCAGATATTAGCATCTGCGGTAAAATACTACAATGGAACTGCAGCAGGCCATTCAATCCCTTGAGTCTGTTCTACCATTCAAGGAGATCATGGCTGACCTGTGACCTAACTCCACGCAGTTGTTGAAGAAAGGTCACTCAGCCTGAAACATTAACTCTGATTTCTCTCCACAAATGCTGCCAGACCTGCTGAGTTTCTCCAGCCATTTCTAATTTTGTCTCTGATTTACAGCATCTGCAGTTCTTTCAGTTTCCATGTACCTGCCTTTTGCCCAT